ACAGAATTATTTTGAAGTCAGAAAATGCACGCCGTACGCCGATGTACGCCGGGGTGTATCGGCGGCGTTCGGCGTGGCAAAATCACCCGGCGGCGGCGGCGTTCGGCGGCGGCGGACAAGCCTGCTACACACTGCACTAACTTAGTCGTTTAGCGACTAAGAACTATAATTACTCACGATAATTAAGTATCACACACTAGTCTAACACTATAGATACGATATTTATGTATCGTATAATGCGTAAATAGAAAGGGTACAATATCAAGTATTATAAGAATGGGAATTACGAAGGTACGATAATTAGTATCGTACACGAATAGATTCACAAACCTCTACAAGCAATCCGTGCTGTGATAGGACGTATAATACGATAACACGAGAATCGCTAACTACTCTTATTTGACTTTTACACGCGATTTAGTGCTGTAATACTTTCAATTCGATCGAGTGATTGTAACTTGAATCCTAAGTAAGGGATGTACAAAGGAAACAAAGTATTCGAACAAAAAGTCTCGAAGTGGAATATACAACGATTGGGCGACATCGGACATTGGTCATATACTTCGTAGTGCCAGCAACTCCCCAGCGTTATGTTCTTTATTTTTTGCAGTTGAGAGTATGAGGGATATGAAGGGTCGTGTCGGAGACACCAATGTAATTTATTAAAAACTCTTAAAAATGACTTATCAGATAGAGACATTAAACTTGTAAATACAGAAGACATTTACAATTTGATTTTTTAGCCCAAGACAGACCTAAGTGGAGAAAGTTATTTTAGTTTTAGTAGGTTACTTATCACATTTTTAATTTGTTTATACAATTTATTTATTTGAATAAAGTTTTATAATAAATAATAATAATGGGCGACATCTGTCCGACAGCGACATCTGTCCGACTCAGAAAATAGGTTATTCGGACAATAGTTTATGTCAGATCCTACCATACGATTTTCTTGAAACTTTCCATAAAGTATGGTGGTTATAGGACGGATAATCTGTGTAGATAAGATACTCGGACAACACGACATCAAAGTCACCCACTCCTCGGCTACCTCCCTCCGCAACCTCCTCACCAAAACGAAGACCACACCCCCTACTCACCTCACTCCCAACACCATCTACGAAATTTCCTGCTCACAGTGCCCCTCCAAATACGCCGGACAGACCTACAGACCCTTGGTCCACCGCATGAAAGAACACGAACGATGTTACAGACTCAACAACGCCATCGACGAATCCACAGACAGAATCAAATCAGCCCCTGCACATCATGCCCTGACCACTGGCCACACCATCTCCTGGAACAACATCGAAGTCCTCAAATCCCTCACCTCACGCTCCCAACTTGACCTCACAGAACACGCAGCTATACAAATACGACAACCAGCTATGAACAGAACAGACCGCGCACCCAAATGTAGTTCCCTCTGGGACCCCATTCTTCCTAAAATTGCCAAATCCTTAAAGTCCAGACCATCTGGCATTTCCTTCTCAACCTCAACAGAAGACTAAATTTTTATTAAAATTTTTATTGACATTGTACTGTAATTTTCACTTTCCCACCCACACCTCCCCCACCCTACATCCCTGACACCACTCACTCACATATAAGCATTGTCCACCACATCACATTCAGCTGACGACGATTAACACATGTTTATTGAAAGCTTCTACAAGTTAAATCATCGTATCTCTTATATGTTTTTAACCCAACTCCACTCAGTTATAATCTGTGTAAGTTTGAGCGAGTGTCTATGTGCCAAATTTGAGATATCACCTTAAACACACAAAATATCTCCAATTCGGTGGTTTGCAGTGGTTCGAAGGCATAATGATCAATAAACTAAACTAGCGGCTCGTCGGCCACGCGACAGTGTTCTCGGCAGCGGTAACTTTTTATAACTGTACCTAAAAAGCTACTCGAAGAACTAACTCTAGCGGGGCAGGTGAGCACTACCAGCACTGTGTCACGTGGTATGGCGAACCACGTGACACGGCGCGGCCCAGTCTGTCCAATAACCTAACCTAACTAACTAACCTGACTAACACATGTCTTCCTCCGCAAAACCATCCAAAATCTATTACACTAATCCTACCTAATCTTACACTCAGCTCCAACGGTTTTTCTACACCAAACTAGAACATTCTAAAAGATGAAAGATCGGTTCTTTTGCGATAGTCAAAACGCGACAACTAGCGCTGGATGGCGACAACTAGCGCTATCCAGCGCTAGTTGTCGCCATCCAGCGCTAGTTGTCGCTATCCAGCGCTGGATAACGCTGGCCAGCGCAAAATATATATGTTCGATAATTGTCGCTATCCAGCGCTAGTTGTCGCCATCCAGCGCTAGTTGTCGCCATCCAGCGCTAGTTGTCGCTATCCAGCGCTAGTTGTCGCTGGCTATGCGACACTGTCGCACGCGATAGTTTGCGATGGCCAGCGCAACTGGCCATCGCAAAAAACAGTTCGATAGGCCATCGATATCCAACTGGCCAGCGCTGGCTATCGCTTAGCGCTGGCCAGCGCTGGCCAGCGCTAGTTGTCGCTATCCAGCGCTAGTTGTCGCTATCCAGCGCTAGTTATCGAACTGTTTTCTGCGATGGCCAGTTGCGCTGGCCATCGCAAACTATCGCGTGCGACAGTGTCGCATAGCCAGCGACAACTAGCGCTGGATAGCGACAACTAGCGCTGGATGGCGACAACTAGCGCTGGATGGCGACAACTAGCGCTGGATAGCGACAATTATCGAACATATATATTTTGCGCTGGCCAGCGTTATCCAGCGCTGGATAGCGACAACTAGCGCTGGATGGCGACAACTAGCGCTAGATAGCGCTAGTTGTCGCCATCCAGCGCTAGTTGTCGCGTTTTGACTATCGCAAAAGAACCGAAAGATCACTAAGCTAAAAACCTGCTATATCAACACCCAAATCACAGAACGAAATATTCTGGCTAACAATTCACGCCCATTAACAATCAACATATTATAATATTCATCTTTCTCCCTTGCTGTCAAATAAGGGACGTAGGCTTAATTAATACGAGACAACTTCTCATTCTGATATGTATAAAACTATGGATCGTCGCTGTCCAGCAGATTATGAATGAAGTCTCTTTACAAACTTACAATTAGACCGAAGGTGAGAAATCAACTAGAAATGTACTAGCAATAATAATATTGATGACAAAGGAACCATTCACTCTTTTAATTTGTCGGAATATCTGCTACCAATTATTTACAGCCACGGCCCACGAGTGACAATCACATTCTTAAAATTTTATTAGAAGCCGTGAAAGAATGCTTTTTTTTCGTGGTATTAAACATCAGTCTTCTTGTCTCCGCTCATACATGATTCAGTCTATTATTAAACACCTCCCTGGTTGTGAAGAGAGAAGCAAAGTTTCGTTGAAGAAATAACAATGCACGTGCCATTGGATGTAAAACCAGTACTAGTAACACTACTACAATCATACTAACAGTACTAGCCAGCACCACGGACAAAGGATACTCAGAATCTTAACAACTCAGAAGATACTCTCTGCCTCAATCATAGAGTCTGGGCAAACTCTAATCACGGGTTAGTCAGTCAGTGGCTCACACTCTGTTGATATCTCTTTAGGGAGTTTTCAAATTTCAGGTATCTCAACCTTACTTAGTTGAGTGTGTCCCACAACCAAGCACCATGCCTAGAATTCAGGCGTTATGTATTATAATGATCCTGGATCTAAGTGGCAAGCATCTCTACATCAACAACAAAAAATCACGTACGTTTCTCGTACATATACGCATTAACACTAACAGTCGTTTTCCGTACTTTATCTCACAGTTTGTAGCTTCCCGGCGACAGATTTTATAGAATTTTTGTCCAGTGACCAATTAGTCAGTTAATTGAGGAGGGTTTGAGACCCAAATTGAGGTACTGGAGGAAGGCAAAATGGAAAATCACCAAAATTTACTACCGATATTAGTACACTTTCAAATACAATACACTTTCCTGGACCGACATTTAACAGTTTGGATAAAATTTCTCTCAAGTTAACAAGATGTTACTTAATTATGTTTTAACAATGGTTAGCATTAGTAAGGGTAAGTCCTGTAACTTAATAACTTTGCCATTGTCATCTGGTTTGTGTTTATACCGGTCTAAATTTTTCAAGTTCATCACACTTTTCCAGACTGGGTCCTGTGAATAAGGCATGTCAGTCACCACCGGCTTCTTCGTAACTCACACAATCAGTGTATCGATATTCGATTTTGGTACTGTAAATTCAAATTCTAAACTGCATCTGAAGCCGACAATTAAATACGCTGCACCCCACGTGCTTTGATATGTCCAACCATTTTAATATCGAGACATTAACTGTCAACATGTTTATGCTGGGTGACTGAATGCTTGAATGTACCAAATGGTATTTCCAGATTGTCATAAAATAGGGTGAGAAGAATTGTTCAGTGGCAAAAGGTTATTAATGATTAATGACAATACTGTCAAGACATCAAATAACGGAGTAGTTCGCTGTTTATTAGTCTCATGATTGAAATACTGATATCTGGATATTATCCGGTTGGAAGAGACAAGGACAAGTGAAACAAGGAAGTGAGGAGTAAGGGCAAATTTTCGGCGTCAACGCCATCTTCAGGCTCAAATTATTTGTTATATAGTAGTGTTGAAAGTATTAAAACTTCCTTGTTTCACTTGTCCTTGTCTCTTCCAACCGGATAATATCCAGATATCAGTACTGTCAAGACAGTATTGATTTACCCTGACTAACCTGGTAAACCTATATCTGCAAAGTAAGAAGTGAAATTCCTCGAATTTAAACATCAAACTTGGTTGAAAATCAGAATGCAGAAGCATAAATTGAACCTACATCATATCAACCTTTAAAAATGTTGAAAATGATATAGTAGTACCTCGTTATAACGCGCCTGATAACTGTATTAACTTTTTAATAATTAGATAAGATATGAGATATCAGCCTGTACCTTCCTTTTTTTAGAGTATCGCAGTGTCAGAACTGAACAGCAAATGTGGAGAGGGAGAGCCAGCAAAGTTGGGTGAAACAGCTTTGAAGTCGTTGAGTGAGAAGAGGACCGAGGAGGAGAGACTGAATCTGATCGACGAGATGTTAGCGAAACTCACTGGCCAAGATGAGGAAGTAAGTTCTTACAGATAAAAACCAAATTTCTAGCGTCAATGGGATCGCGTATTGCATCATTAATAATTGATATCGATGTTATATATCTACTTGATTTCCTTGTTCTTGTTTAATACAGAATAAAACTTAGGTTTCAGATGAAAAAGTTTCAGACGATCTTGATTTTTTTAGACTGACTAAAATCTAAAATGGTAACCGCTGGATAAGCCAAGCTACAGTGTTAATTGAATTAGCCTCAATAAATTAGTGTGCTGTTGTTGACTGCCCAAAAGCACATTTTGATTATTATTCACCCAATAAAACTTAACTTATCTCTAAGTTTCTTATTAATGAAATTTTCAATCGCAGGAATTACCAGAAGTGCCAAAGTCTGTGTTAGACGAACTTCTCTCACAGTGCCGAGCAGAGTCGTCAAGACAAGGATCAGAGGAAACTGTTTCGGTTTCATAGACTATTTTCCGGGGAATCTGTTTTTTGTCAGCTGCTGTGATTTCAGTTTTAAAATTTTAAGAACAAAGAAGGACCGGTTTGATATGATGATGAATTGCCCAGATTAAGAGTTTAAAGTATAGCCGAGTTTCAGCTTTTCCGATTTTTTTTCAGTGATGAGGAGATGATATGCTTTCAGTTAATTCCTAACTGAAGAAATTTCGAACCACCGACGTTTTTAATCAAAAATCCTTCTCTCGATATTGATAGCCGGTTGATCTTTGAATATCGTTTCAAAGTTTTCACAGTGCAAGTGTCCAGAATTCAATTTTATATTTGCTTGTAAATATTTTCTTGTAAATACTTAAAATCAGTCACAAAATCAGTATTTCAATTTTTAGTCCATCATTCAAAAAGATATTCCCAATCTGGTTTATGAAATTCATGTGCTCCGCTTATTGAATGACTTTTAGGTCATTCCGCGGTAAATGGAGGATGATTCCAGGTACACCAAGTAGTTGAACAATGTTTTTCAAATTCCCAATATTATATCATAATTGTACGAGGGATTGAAGACTGAGGCTGTGTGTGAACTAAACACACGTTTATAAATTGTCTGCTGGTTAAATTATATTTATATGAACGTTGAGCGGCAACCATGTGCTAACATGAGGTGTCGTCAGTCGTGGTTTAGATTCCCCGGAAAGAGATTTAAATGCCTCGTGCAGTTGCAGCGGTTGTAGGAGCCCACATGGTGGTTCTGCAGAATCATAGCTCTAGATTTAAATTTCTCACGTGTACCACGTCAATCTTCGTGTGTTCCAAGTTTAATTTCTGTATGTTGTCTTCTAATACCATGACCAGTTGGTAAATACATTATCAGGATGGGTGCATTTTATACCACTCCCTTCTCCGCTTGCCACTTTACAGTTACACAGCTTATGTTTTACGAAATCAATCCCTATGTAGAAATTATTACACCCAATACAAACGCTACTAAAAAATTGGTTAAAATTGGAATAAATTCGTCAAAAATTTAAGCCGTGATGAAGAGATTTCAGAGCCTGATAGTGATTTATAACCATTTACCTTACCTTAAAGACAAAAGGTTTACTTTTACTGTGATCATGTGAAATACTAGAAATTATCATGTCAAATAATAACGATAAAATACTGACAACTTATAGTGATTAATTAATTAATATCAAAGAAGAATATCCCCTCTTGTCAATTTTACACACAACATTTTAATTTTACAGTTACACTTTTATCAACGTTTTTGCACACAAAATCAAAATGAAGAGAGCCACAATATCGGAAAAGCGCCAAGCAGACAACATCATAAACAAAATACGATTAAAAATGAAAAAATGCAATACACTACGTAATCAGCTAATAATAATATTTTAACTGCTGCACCACTACGTAGAGTTACACAAATTGAAAGAAACAGAAAGTTCGGGATGGCTGGCGGTGATCACTCTTCTGCTATTCTTCCTCCCGGGAATGGCCCTGAAAGCTCCAGGGGCGTAAGAAAATCGCCTTGTTTGAGAATTCCGAGAGGTTTGAGTCTTGTTGGGCGAGTTGTTTTCGAATATGATCTCGAAATTTGTCCATCTTCTCACCCGATTATTCAGCGTCTCATTTTTGTGGGCTGTGGTCGTTGTTGTTGTTGAAAATGATGTGGTCGCTTCAGAAACCTTCCTGGCATGTTCTTTCATGAACTTCTTAAAATTCCGGTTGACGATTGTGTAGATGATGGGATTGACACAGAGACTAACCATGTGGAAGTACTGAGGAAGTCTGTTAAGGGATGAAGACGAGAGACTCTGGTCAAATGTTCTCCATATGGTGAAGACAATGTGGGGGGACCACGAAACCACAAAGGAACCTCCGATAAGGAGGGTGGTTATGAGGATCTTCTTGTTTTTGTTCCATATCACACCGGTTAGTTTTAGTGATGTTATTGCAAGCAGTACGATACAAATTATAACTAATGTAAATGGCAGGCAGATGGATAGAATCCAGAAAATTGTCATTATGGTACCGGTTTGTATTCCTGCTATACGAGAAGTTCCAAAGTCATAGGTGTCCAGGGTGCACGAGTCAGTTATAAGACGGATTTCCTGCTGGGAGAAGAGGGTGAAGATAGGGAGGATCGCACAGTAGGCCCAGATGAGCCCCACGATTAAGTAAGCCTTGTTCTTCCTGAACATAGCCCCAGACTTAACCGGAGCGATACATCTGAGAAGCCTATGAACGGAGATAAGCAGAATGAAGTGGATGTGAAGAAGGCCAGGGTAGTTGTTAACCACACCCAGGAGGTAGCACGTGCCACAGCCTAGCACCCAGCGTCGTGCACCGTGTAGGATAGCCAGAGGAAGCACCACGAATATCAGAGAAAGCAGGTCAGCTATTGCTAGGTGCTTCACGAATAGGATCGTTATGTTGTCAATGTTGTAAGTCACGTTTATGTAGGATATTGACCCAAATAATACCACCAAGTCACCTAGGAACCCTGAACAAATGAAACATTTTGGTTCAAATATATACGGCTTCGGCCCAGAAATCATTTTAATCAAAATATTCAGATTCAAAAATTATCCATCGATATAGCCTGTCAATACGAATACAATTTTACTTCGGATGACCATCAAATAAAAACCACAATAAAAACTACAAACCAACAGCGAAGACGAGGATACTGTACACTAGGAGAAAACCGTTCTGAACATCAGAAGTGACATCGTCGTAGAGGGTCTCCAGTCCTGTGCAGTTCACCACTGCTCTAAGTGTCATTTCCTTCAAGGTACTGCTGTTTAGTTTAGTAAGTTTAATGATATTGGTTATAATTTTATAGTTTGAGTTTGAGTCTTGAGATAACCACGCTGTGAATTCTATGCCGAAGATTTGCATTTTAAGCTGATCAAATGTCGACAAAAAGATGAAAAATTGTCGAAATCGTCACATAATTTTATGAAGTACGGTTTAAAAAGTCAAATTAATGTCGAAGTTAACCATGATCAGTAAATTATCTCATCAATTAGAGTATTGTTGTATGATGATCGGATTGGAATCGATTCGTAAAATGAACCGAATTCAAAATTTGATTCGTGGAATATTACCACAATTATTATATTATAAATAACCTAGTTCTCCCAAGAAATTATATTAAAACACCAGACTGATTTAATCATAGCCAATCTCAATCTAAAAGTAAATGAAATTAAAAATCTTCCAGTTAGTAAAAGTCACCAAAATACTATAAAAGTATAAAGCAGTTGCAAGTTGAAAGCTGACAGCCAATTTACGAGGCTCGGCTTTGAGGTAAAATTTAAAACGATCCTGGGCTTGCATTGAAAAACATGTTGCTTAGGATTAATAAATTAAAATTCAGCTTTACAGTAATATACAGGGTGGGCCAAAAGTCAGTGTGCAAACGTTGGCCTTAATAGCTCAGTCACTGAGTGCCCAATTGAAATACTTCCTTCTGGTATGACTTAGTACCACCACTGGTTCGAGGAATTTGTCAACTCGAAAAATATTCGCGTTCATTTTTTTCAAATGGAGGTTCATTTTCACATTTATTTGATAGTTTGGATAGTCAGATCAAGCTAAATGTTATTGAATTGTGTTTGGCCATTAGAATTACGTTTGTCCTGAAAGAATTAGAACTGTAGCTTCTCAGATGACCGAGATATGAAGCATAACGATTTTATTCATTACGTGTGATCAGGTGATTGGTTTACCTAATCACGTGATAAGGTGACCCCGTTAACTACCCCGTTAAACATTATGGGAATTGTTAAGGGTGCCCAATTAAGGTGTCGTGTCACGGTGTCACATAATCACTCAGTCAATTTTGTTAACGAGATACACAAAATGCTTGATAACTTCGTCATTTCTAATCCGTTTTGCCTCATGTTTTCAGATCATATGCAACATTTGATAATCTACCGTCTCTGAAAAAATTAGGCGTTCAGCATGTTCAGAGAAAACAATAAAGGTGTTTTAATATTGAATGGGTGTGGTCTAAAATATTCGAATTTTCAAATTTTGACGACGGAATCCTCGAACCAGTAAGTACAGTATGCCATCTGCAAAGCAACAGCTCTCAAATATAAAACACGGCGGAGGTATAAGACCCAACGTTTGCACACTAACTTTTGGCCCACCCTGTATATATATATATATATATATGAACATAATAGTCTGGGGTCCCCAGGTAATATATATATACAGCATAATAATAGCATCAATAATAGCATAAATAACATAATAGCAAAATATGATAGTATCATTAATAAAGTAATACTAATAGCATCAAAGTGGTCGACAAGCATTGACGGATGAAACGATTGCATCGCATAATAAATAAATAAATAAATAATGAACATTTCTTTACAAAAAGTTTAGATTTTCCTTACCACATTTATAGTACTAATAGCTTAAGCTGCGTGGCCGAGCAGACAACAAATAAGCCCAGCCCCGACTAGCCGGACTGAGAGACACGGAGGAGGCTCAGCGGCAGGGCATGAAAATTAAGACGACCTAATTATGATAGCGGGCCAGATTTCCTATTAGTGTCGCCGATTTGTGCCTGAATCTCATGAATGCCGAGACTGATTAGTAAGGATTCTGAGTTGAGATCAGACGTGTACGAAGCAGTTATGCTGCATGAATACTTGTTTGTTCGCGGAGGTATAAGTTGGGTTCATCAGTGAAGGTGACGAGAGTCTAAAGAAATATAAACGGTATTAGTACTTAACAAAGTGTACTTGTTTTCACTAAATCATGGTTAAAGGTGAGGCTTTTATACTGCAATATATAATATTTGATACATATAAAGCATAAGATATTCATCGACAATCTTGATCCGCGTTGTCACTACAAATATATATAATTGCCGACCTTATCATTATGAATAACAAAATCCAATGTCATTTGTCACCGACCGATTTGTGCAAGTTTGGGTAAATTTCGATGTACCAAATTTGAGATATCACTTCAAACACAAGAAAATAGTGCTGTCGGACAGATGTCGCTGTCGGACAGATGTCGTGTTACCGTCACCGAGTTTCGAAAATTATGCGGTTTGAGAACTAACAGTCATTGCTCGATAGTCAAAGCAGTAACGATAGCGAATAATTGCTGAATTTTGCTTTTAGCAGCAATATTTTTTATTAGGTCGCGGCAGCTATCGGGGATTAGCATGAGAAACCTAATTTCTGGGAGGTTAGTCAGCTCCCTATCTGGGAGCTGACTAACCTGGGTTGTTACCAGGCACCAGCTGTAGCATGTGAACCCTCACAGTCACCCAGCACCATTATAATGGTGCCAGTTACAAGGGTGTATTAAAGAATTATATTAGGCAAATCCTAGCTACTTTTCAGTTAATTTACGGGTAAACTGCGTGCGACATATCAGGCATAATGTCAGGCATATAATGTCAGGAATCAGGATCATATCGTAAAAATCCACTCATTTAACTGAAATTTCGATTTTTACAATGGGCAGTTTTAATATCGAAAAAATTAGTGTCGGTCCAAATTTAACCCGGTTAAATTTCCCTCGTATCGGTAATTATGAAAGAACGGTATTGATACTTGATAAGGTATACTTTTACTTGTCCTTCTGACTTTGCCTCAATAAATTCTGGTTAAAGGTTAGTTCGTGAAGCTTTTATACTGTAATATATAATATTTGATACATATAAAGCATAATAAGATATTCATCGGCAATCTTGATCCGCGTTATCATTACAAATATATATAATTGCAGACCTTATCATTATGAATAACAAAATCCAATATCATTTGTCACCGAGTTTCGGAAATTATGCGGTTTGAGAATTAACAGTCATTGCTCGATAGTCAAAGCAGCTGTAACGATAGCGAATAATTGCTGAATTTTGCTTTAAGTTTAAGCAGACCTATAAATCCTTGAATTTTCTATAAATTGTGCTGTGATCAGCCAACATTTGGAGATGACTGCGAAGCAAGATGTTTTACATTTTGAGCTAAGAGTGCTCAAATATACTTTGGTCCTCACCATAGCCATAACCATGAGTATGCTTATATTATACAGATACACGATTCAAAAATAACTCCCTTTAAGTAAGTTGGCTAAGTAGGCACTAGCAGACTAAACTAGCAAACTGACAAATCTAGTTAACCACTCATGCTGACTACTCGGGCTTACTAATAATAACGTGAAAGTATATGTTAGTAATAATATGGCCTGATAATTTGAATGCGGTCAAGAAAATACCCTAATGTTTGTTGTGGAACACAACAAGAAAATTGAGAATAATCTTGTGTGAGGGTAGGGACCAAATGTCGTTTTTAACCTAAATTATCGGTAGTATTTAAGTATTTAAGCATAAAGACGTAACTATAATAAATGAGTCTAGTCAATGCAGTTATTTAACCCCTACACTTATAGTTATATTAATTAAAAACTCTTCTTATGACAAAAATATTACAATATTCTCTACCTCCTGCTATTAGTATTACTCTTCCGATGAATCTATAAAATCATATGTATTATATACTAGTAGTTAGCTACGTGGGACACATAAAACGCACATATATATACTGTGAACTGCCCAATAAAAAACGAATAAATGTCTCATTTTCCCGATCCATGGCGAAGCTTTACGAGTACTTAATCAAATAATACTAAATGAAATATCCCCTCCTTGAAGTAATACCTAATCGGCCTTCGTATTGGAGGAGTCTTATGGCCCCCTTTGCCAGAACTATAATTTTTGGTGCTAGGCGGCCTCACAATTTATCGAGGGACTTTAGGACCGGGTAAAATATGATTGACAACTATGATGATTATATATGAATTTTACTTGATAGAGTGCTTATCTTAAAGTTAAATTTTTTTACAGGCTCTATAATGATGTATTTTTACGAAGATTTCAAGCCTTACGTTGTGTGTTTCCCTTCGTGTCCAAAAGCATTACATGATTGACAACTATAATATAAGTATCTACTGAGTCCGACTCGGAGCAGCCAAATGCTGAAAAAAGCTCAATTTCGAATTCGCACGGATACGACTTTTAAATTAAAAGGAGAGAGAGCAAATTAAATATCTGGGAACCATACTAATTGGGAACCATCAACCAGGCATTTTATTTTAAACGTGGCAGGACCACGTGTCAAATCACGTGTTCATACAGTAGAAAACTCTGTGATAGGTTATAGGATAGGTTTACGAAATTTGTAACAGGTCTAATATTAATAAGTATTAATAACCTATATGACATTTGCGGGGTAAAACAAATTACAAAATATCTTAAAGCCCGCAGTAGCTTAAACAGCTGTCAACTATATGTCTTGCTTCTCGTCGGAGACCACCTTTTATAAATATGTTAAGTCTAGGATTTTAGAGCTCCTCAGACCATATAAAGAAAAATCTAACGGTGGGTCACGAGACTTTCAAAGCCGGATAGAACGGTCTCACTAACGATAGGATGTGAACTACCTTATACTAACGGTAGCCAAACCAGAATTCAGAACTCAAATCTCTATTATAACGTCAATACCGAAACAAAATCAAAAGAATCCATAATATTTTAACACTACGCCCGTTCCCCTGCCAGACAAAACCAGTAATAATGAAGTGGCCCCGCTGTTAATTTGGATCGGTATACTGCACTCAAAACACTTACTGGGCCGCGCTCAGCCTGTTATTCCGCCGAATCTCTATTCGACTCTATGTTTATGAACATGATAGCCTGAGGTCCCCAGGTAATCAAAACACCTGCATAATAATTACCAAGCTTATAC